TGGTTTGAAATAAATGTCATAAAAGAAATAGCAAGTTCTTGTACGAAAGTGCAGCAGTCCTACATTTTGGATTGGGGCATTTTTCACTTTCTTTAGGTAAGGTTTATTAGTCTGCAGTTACCGATTTCCATATATATATATACACATATATTTTTAATACATGTATGTAAAATCTTATTAAATACAAAAAGTCTATTTCTATTTCTATTGCACTTCAGTCCCTCCTTAAAACTCAGTTAAAGTTTCTTCTCTGACTTCTGGTTGTTCATATGTAGCACACAGCTCCGGGCAAGCAGACTTAGTCTTTTTTAGAAAGTCTGGAGAGCACTGGAAACAGCAAAAGGAACTTTAAATCCTTAAAAAACAACTAGACCCATCCAAGTTTTTCAGCTCCTGGCTTTGGGAGATGTGAGGGCCATATTGACAACGGGGATGCTGACAGGGAACGTGTCTGACTACAGGAAATCAAAGAAATTAGGGCGGTGGAAAACACAAACATAATGAGTCACAATTTACTACTTCAGAAACCATGCAAGTAGTATTTTGGATATGATGTCAAAGCATAATATTTAGTCACCATATGTGACTGAATTTTGAGAAGCGAATTAAAGTATTTTCAATAGGAAAAGCAGTTCTTTAGTTGCTTCTGACACAATTTCGTGTATGAGGTTCGAACTGCTACTGTGAAAGGGTTATTCTGTAACAGTGCCCAAAGTATACTTGAATTCAATATCTTAGAAGGATGAAAAAGTCAGAAATTCCCTAAGATGATGTCTAACTTAAAAAAAGACCTTGATTGGTATATAATTGGTTTGTAGGGGGTTTAATACAAAATTTCAAAGTAAGAACTACAAAGACAAAATGTTTGCAAGCACTATAAAAATCTGTTTTAAATTAACATATGGAAGCCTCAGAAGAAATGTATATCACTTATCCAAAAATTTAAGGAACAGAAATAGCTGATATGGTTGAAAAGAAGGGCAGAAGAAGCTATCAATCAGATGTATAAAATAAAATTTTTCAAAAAACTGAATTCAGGTCTAAATGGAGAAAGTAGACAGAAGCATAAGTCTTGACAAGTTAAATATAAAATGATAATAAATCAGACTGGGAAAATATTTTAAGATACAACTTGCCAAAAAATAAAAAGAAAAAAAATCTCACAATGAACACTTTCTGAATGGTAAGGAACAGGAAACCTACCATGAAGTCTGTTGTACCAGTAGGTGTCTGAGATGGAAAAGAAGCTCCCAGGGAAGAGAAGCAAAGTAAATTATTGGCATTGATACTCACAGCAGAAGTGTTTGGGAGGGAAGTTGCAGAAACAGCATCCAACCGACCCGGTGGCAGAGGCTGCCTCCGATGGTGCCCAGGGGAGGGACGGGAGCCTGCCGTCAGCGGTGTCTGAGGACCAAACCTGCCTCCCTTCCCAGAAACTTCCCCCTTCTCTATAACAATCTCCCTGCTCCCAAGCGATATCCACGCTCTCGATAGCGCTCAGCTCAGCCCCTTGCTCCACGCCAGGTTCCTCGCAGGACCAGGTGGCCTCCTCGGCCAGCCCAGCACTGGTGGGACCACGGCAGACATTGGCCACATAGCTAGGTAGAGGCCGGGGATCTTTTTGTTCATTTTGTTTGTAATGAGGAAGGGCTCCCCCGGGTGATATATGCTTGATTTTCGTTCGTCTTGCTCAGCTAGCACCTCTGTGCAGGGCCAGGACTTGGACGTGCAGCATGTCCACATCCAGCCTTTGTGAGATGAACCCTGGGACTAGTTTAACATAGCTTCTGAAACGTGAGGCTTTGCTTTATTTCATGCAAAATTTCTGAACGTAAACTGTCAGGCAGTATGCTTTTTAAGCAAATCCAGGGATTTTCTAATCCCCAAGTTGCAGAGGATGCTGTCTGGGTACTACAGAGAGAGGCCTCTCTGCCTCAAGCTGCGTTCTCTATGTGACCAGCCCTTACCCAGCCTGCAAAAACCTCCTCAGCTCTTTCTTTTTCACCCTTCCCTTGAGATTTTATCCAAGTGACCCAGTGTAAAAGTCTCTTACGAGTTGTAGAAGCGTTATAAAATAAGATAAACCAAGTCTATTTTCACAATGCAATGATTAGGAGCCTGCGCTGTCTCCGGCTGACCCCACTTTGCCCCTTGTTTTGCCACCTCCCCGAGGTGCTGGGCCCCACTTTCTCCACGATGAAACTCTCAGAACGATTTCCAAGACCTGCGTCCAAGCTGGCATCGCTCGCAGCTTCTCGCAGAGCCCACCTGTAGCTCCCAGGCAAGTAAATCTGGCTGCCGCGTTATCAATGACCGCAATATTGTGCGCCCTACCAGCAGCTCCTAATTGCCGTGTGTGCGTTTCCCACCGAACGGGTGAGCCAGCATTTAACATGTAGCCGTGCTTGAAAAGCGAAATGCAAGCGATGGTGTGCTAGCAAACGCTTTTGGCTATGTGCCTTTCCTCTCCCGATTCTGGCTGCTGCAAATGGGGAGGCAAAATTTCTGTGATTATTGTGCAGGTGATTAGAGGAAATTGCATTTCCACCAGCTGAAGCTCGCCGTGGCTGCAGCAGTGCTTCGGCGCTTAACTCGCCTGCTGGTAAGCCGCCAGCGAGAGGGGAAGTGTAGGCATAAAATGAATAGCGGAAGAGATTGCAGGTAATTATGTTTCTTAAGCTGTTAACAGGATTGGCCATTTGATAAATGAGAGGATTTGGGAATGTTTTGTCACTGACAAGCCATTGTAAGATCATAGTGGAAACGGGAGACGTTTCTTTTCACAGGGTGAACGAGAGGGGAATTCTCCCGGGCTTCTTATGCCCCATAAAATTCATCTGCAATCTAGATGCCAGGGCATGGACAGGAAAGGAGAGACGTTGGCCTCCTTCCGCTGGCAAAAGCAGGCGTCTCATCTATGCCTGCCGTTCCTTTGCTGTTGGTGCCCCTTGGGCACCCTCCGTGTGCCTTTCAGTACCTTGGGGGCCTCCAGGTCCCTTTTGGTGCCCACCAGATCCTTCTGTTTATTTTATGGTGCCCCCCCCATCCCTCTGTGTGCTTTTTGGTACCCCCGGGGCTGCTTTCCGCAGGCAGGGCAGGTTTCCTGGAGGCTCTGAAGCCCACGTAGCTGGTGTTTGTTTGTGGGACCAAGCGAGGAGAGGAAGGCTGCCCCGAATCTCCTCTCAGCTTTTCACCTCTTTCTTTTTGATGGTTCTCAGCAGCTGAGGCCAGGTTACTCATATCAGTTTGGGTTCCCTGCAGGTACTAGCAGAGAAGGTTTGCTGGGAGATGCTGGAGCCCCTCAAATCTCATTTTCCCAGCAGAGCTGTGCACTGGTACAGCAGCACTTCCAGCAAAAGCAAATTGCTGGCTGATGCCTACAGCACAGTCTGGGGCTGCGGACAGAGGAGATGCTCCTTGTTTCGGTCCCGAGAGCAGCCTGGAGCAAGGACTGGGCCTAGGGCCGTGTGTCCGAGGAAGGGCCACAGGATGGGAGCAATGGAGCTGTGTTTTGTTTTCTCTGTAGCACGTCCTGTACTGCAGAAGCATTATCAGAAAGTCAGTGAGATGGCCCACCTTCTCTCCAGAGACCCAAGCACTCAGCAGATGGAGAAGAGCAGCCTCTTCTCCAGTGTCCCTGCCGGAGAAGAAGCTTTTCCAACCGTGCGTGGCCAATGTATACAGCAGAGGTGGCAGCCTGTCCACAGGGAGGTGGCTAAAGCAGCAGCTGCTCCCTTGGGGGAATTTACGTACTGGAGGACGCAAAGAAATTCCTGACGTTCAGAAGTCTGATCTCTTCCCAATGGCAAAGTGGTGTTTCAGCTTGAACAGCTGGATTGGGTACAAGGAAAAGACCCGTTTCGGCTGCAGCTGCATCAGTTGGTAGCAGCATCCCAGGGGTGGCAGAGGTCAACCCTGGCACCAGCTCCCCGTTCCTCCTCCAAGCAGCCCTCCTGCTCCCCGGCGGGGGCTTGGCCCCACCACCCACCTCTGCACTTATGCCTTTTCTCATTAGTCTGTAAGGGAAGTCTTGAAGTCACACTTAAAAAGACTACCTTTAAAGGGTAATGAGCTGACACATTAAACGGGGAGGTGGGTGGCAGGGCCAAGCCCCTGCTGGGGAGGCTGCTGGAGCGGGGCAAGGCCCACCCGGAGCGGCCGAGGGACGGGGCGGCGGCAGCTGGACCTCGCTCCAGAGCTTAAGTGCTTTGTGCGGGGCTCAAAAAGCCACTTGGGTTTTCTGCCCCCGCACAACTTGGTCTCTGCAGCGACTGCTGTTGCTTCAGCTTCCAGTCAAGCTGGGGTGGCCCTCATCTTTCCAGGTGCCCTGCTTCTAGCTCTCCTTCCCTGAGGAATTGCTTTCCACCATCTATTTAATGGAAATGTTTCGGAAGGGTATAGGAAGCTGGAGTACAACTCCAGCTAGTTTCATAACTGTACTTGCTGGCTCCTTGCGACAGTGCAGTAAAGATCAAGCTGGGATGAAGGGAGTATCTGTAAAGAAGGAGAAACAGCCCTTTCTGGCACAAGCCGTTACCCACTGCAAGGAAATAAGAGCTGCTGCGGCAAGACGACTGCATCTGTTCGCTGCCCACTGTTAGCTCCAGTGCAGCAGCAGCAGCAAGCTCTTCTCAACGCAAGAGCTGCAGGACAAGCTGGAGCTGAGGAGTGGGGCAATGCATCTTTTGCAGAGCTGTCAGCAGGGGTTTAAAAAAAAAAAAAAACATGCATTGAACAAACCAAATGTCACCTTGTTTCAGTTGCGGCTTGCTCCAATTTTTATTTCCAAGAGCAAAAACAACCCAGCGTGGTGCTCCTATGTCCGATTCCCACTCAGCTCTTCCTGTAGCGTGGCTCCCTGGTGAGGGGTGCAGGGAGCCGAGCGAGCCGGCAAACGCAGGCCCCTTCCTTCTGTGGTAGCTCCTCGAGGGGTAAATGAAGGCAAAAACCAGTTCCTGACCCTTTGAACTGGGTCTCAGGAAAAAAAAAAGATCACTTACTTTTCACTCCAGCTGTAATTGGAGTCTGAAATGGTGGCCCCCAACCAGCTGGAAGAGGCACGGACAAGACGTGAAAGAGCAGTTATTCTCGGCAACAAGCACCTAGGAAAAGCAAATGCGTATTTTAATAGAGATATAGCAGCACTAGAAACTCTAAGACACTTTCCCTCTATGAACAATAGGGCTCAAGCCCCATTTTCCCCAAGAAGGGGAAGGTGTGCAGCTCCGCACGCTGGGCTTGGTGCCCCCCCAACTCCACCACCACCGCCAGCAGCCCCAGACCCCAGTGCCAGCAGAGCCTAGGGCATCACTTCCCCGCGCCGACAGCGCAGCAGGTGCCGGTTTCCCGCAGCTAACCCGGGGCTGTGTGCTTAACGCAAGCACAGCGGGAGCCGCAGCGACAGCCAGGCCCAGCCAAAACACAGGGCATCAACAGAAAAACTTCCCCAGCCTCACGTGGGCTGCAGTTAAAGCACTGAGATGCCAGTTCTTGCCAGCAGGTTTACGAAAGCAGCATGGTTTTCCAAGCTGCTCTTGGGGTGGATGGACCGGACGAGGGGTTTGCCTAAGGGCTGACCCAGAGTGGCAGCCTTTGCCATTAATAAAACCTCTCCAGCTATGGGTTTTTGAGCTCAGACTTAACTGTGCTCCTACTTGTTTGACCCTATGAGGCTTTCCTGCGGGGAAAGCGCGCTCCAGCTGCTGCCCCTGCGGCGCACCCGTTGCACAGCCCTGAAAACAGCCCCCACCGACCACCTCGATCACGGGGGCCTTGCAGACGCTCCCGGGATTGCTGTACCTCTGCCAGGCAGCAAGGGAGCTCCTCCAAGCCGTCCTCCCTGGACTCACTGAGCACAGCTAACCCTCCAGGAACAGGGTGCTCAGCCCCCCTCACCCCCCCCCAAAACCTCGGGGTTTAGCTTTGGCCATTTGCCACTTTGGGGCACTTACCCGACAGGTCTTGCCGCATCCGGATCCTCCCTCGCTCTCCATTGCGGCAAGGCTGTGCTCCTCGCTGGGGACTTCTCACGCCTCATTGCAATGACACAGCATCACTTGTGCTGCAGAAAAAGTCCCTTGAGAGCTGAATTGGGGCAAGACAAAGCTGGCTTTTCTGGTGGCCCAGGTCAGACTCTGGCCGTGCAAACTCCAGCCAAACGAGCTCTGGCTGGGAACTGATGCTCTGCCGCAGAGGAGCCGGGGAGCGCGGCACCTCCCCAGAAAACCCAGCCCAGCAGCACCCAGAAGGCAACAGCAGGCGATTCATCCCGATGTTCTGCACCACCCCCAGACCACTAGCAAACTGCTGCTGTGGTGCACTAAGCACAGCGCTGCCCCCCCAAAACAAAGCCATGGAGAGCAGCATGCGGTAGGGGACCCCCAGCGATGGGCATGTCTCCCCACCAGGGACACCCCAGCGCCCGCAAGGCCATCGGAGGAAGCAAGGCACCAGCCATGGTGTCCCCATCCTGCTCACCCCGCTGTCCTCAAGGCTGGTGGCCATGGAGCCGTTCTTCCGCGCCAGCTCATCCTGGGCAGCAACCACAGGTCCCCAAGGCAGTGGCAAAGGCAGAGCTGGGGGAGCCCAGAGGAGCACCCGGCTCTCAGCACGGGGACGTTTCACATGGCTGCACAGAGGGTTGACGCCAAACCTCTCCACTTGGCGCCAGCTGCGCTCCCCAGCCACCCCCAGGGACACGGGAGGTTCAGGGCAGAGATGAAGTCGCTCGGCCCCGATGTGCCGAGGAGCTGCAGCTCCCGGTGCAGGCAGCAACCTCAATCCCTCCTCAGAAGGCTCCTCCGCAGCCAGGACCGAGGGACGAGCCAGGCCGGGCGCAGGGCTCAGCCCCAGCCGGCTCCCTCCATCCCTGTTGCCCCGCCAGACCGGCAACGCCACCGCTTCAGCCACTCTCCCCAATGCGGGAGGAAGAGAGAAGCAAACACCAGATCCCCTCAAGCAAAACACCCTCATGGCAGCTCTCGCTAGCAAGGCTGCAAGCACAGCTTCATCGAGACTCACGCCAGCAGAGGCCGGCTTTGGAAGGACACGGCTGCACGAACTGGATTCAGGGAGTGTTTCCCACTCTGTCCCCCACCCCATGCCAAACAGGCTTAACTGACTCGGTTTAAGAGACTTGAGCCAGAATTTAAGTTACTGAAACTGCAAAGTTTGCTGGGAATCTCAGACCCAAATGCGTCAGTGCTCTCTGCAGCATGTTAGAGATGATAGCGCAGAAGAGAACGACCGTGAAAAGCCCACCACAAGGCAATCATCTGCCTCATCCTTAAGCCTAAAGTCACGGCTAGCATCTCGGGTCAGCGGACCAAGGGAGGATAAGGGAGTGTGCACAGAAAACGCAGCTGGAAAGCAGGCTGGCATCCAGGGTGCTCGGAGAAGGCCCCTGGGTCACATTTTGGACCCTTTTCTACCATGCAAAACGCCTTTCTCCAAGGGCACGGCACAGCCCTAGAGACCGGTGCTAGGAGCAGGATGAGGCGCACCCGGAGCCGACTGCACCTGCACCCCGCCAGCAAGCCACAGGCTCAGCCAGGGGCAGCTGCACCGGGTGCAGCCACACAAGTTCTGGGCAAGGTCTGGGCACGGTGCAGCATTTCCTTCACCCCGCGCAGGGCCGAGGCCGGGCAGGGACAGGCTGAGAAACGCAAGTGCCTGGGATGTGTTTTTCTGCTTACTGGCCAGACGCCTGCTTTAGGCACGACTGTCCAGCCACCGTTCAACAGAGAGCCTTGAAACGGCCGCGCTTAAGGGCGAATCTCCGCAGCCCAAAGCCAGAAGCCCCAGGCGCCTGCGCAGCAACTCGGCGCCGCAGGGCGGATGCTTCGCGGCTGCCGACTCACCATCCGGGTCTGCAGCCCTTCGGGGCCAGTGGCTGAGAGTCCCGGCGCGAGCGCTTACAGCAGCACAGGCATCCCCCACGTCTGCTCTTCCACGCATCCCTTCAATCCAAAAATGCCCGCGGACCCTAACAGGAAAGTAGGCGATCTCACACACACACACAAATGAAACTCTTCCTCTCCTGAGCCAGGCTGGAAGAGTAGCGCGCTGGCAACCACTTCACAGCCTCCAAAAACCCTGACGTTATGGCCAAGAGCCCCCCTCACCCTGCAGCAGCCCATTTGGTGCATGCTGCAGGGACCAGTCACCTCTGCAGCACCTGGAGACAAGCCCTGGAGCAAAACGTGAGGTGGCCAAGACCCGCAGCAAGGGAGAGCATTCCCCACTCTTCAGCACAGGGTGCAAAGGCCCCTGCAGCTGCCCTGGGTCCTGGCAGCCCCGGGGCAGAGATGAGCAGAGCCTGGGGCAAGGAAGAGGGCTGTCTGCCCCAGGGAATGGGGAAGCTACCCTGTCCCCAAGGGCCGTTACTGCAACTTATTGCAGTTCCCAGAGACAGAAGGGAAAGGACCAGCATGGCCCTCCCAAAGCGTCTCGTGAGAAAAGGGGTCAGCCAGCGAGGTCTCGGAGGTGAGCAGGTGCAACATTATCCACTCATTTTTACAGAGGAGAAAAAGGAAATAGAGTAAAGTTGCATCTAGACACCAAGTCTCAGAAGGGTGAAGGACAGCCTCACGACCATTCATGCTAGCCACTGGTCTTTGCTCCTTCAC